GATAGATAGATAGATAGATAGATAGATAGATAGATAGATAGATAGATGATGATGATGATGAAGGTGATTCTTCATCTCACCCAGTGTGGCTACCAAACCACAGGAGGCCCATATGAGGAGACAGGGTCCAACACCACCGGAGTACAACAGGACAGACTTGGGAGAAATGAAGATGCCTGAGCCAATCATACTCCCCACAATAAGACAGATGCCGCTCACCAGACCAACCTAATCGAACACAGAGAACAGAGAAAGAAAAATGTGTTTCTGAGACAGATCTTTCTGTCGGTGTAAACTTGAAGTGACCCAGTTCAAATGTAGAATTAGTTCATATAGATTTGAGTCTGGGTTTAGATTGTCCAGTGCAATGGAGACAACTTAGGCTTCCTGCTGGGGGGTGGGTGGCTGGGTTGGGAGGGGTGGTTAAAATGAGGGTGAAGAGGATCTGATTAATAAATATTTGACTACATTGGCAATACATCCTGATTCCTGTTCTGTTTCTACGTTAATATTTAGCCTTTTTACCAGCTCAAGAAAAACACAATACAATGAAGTCAGTTGTTCATTTACACTTGAGCACGTGCATGTGTGTACGTGTGCACGTGTGGTGACTGAAGACCGAAGAGCCCAGGCTGATTTTCAACCCCACTCTGCCCCTGCTGTATTAGACAAACTACAACAAGACAAAAATCATTCTGTTCCAACTTTTGTTCTTTTCTCTTCTTTTCTCTTTATCAGATTATGTAGAATATCGCGACTTCTTCATCACAGCTACATTTAAACCTTGATTGACTCGGTGACAGTTGCGCGTCACTCAACTACATAATTTGATATCAAGGAAAATTAGCATCAAAGTGAGTAGAATCCCAGCCTTGAGATGAACACAGATGAACACGGTACTCACATCTTTCTGAAGCACGGTGGGCTTCACATGCTGCTTCTCCTGGGCCGTAGAACGTTCACGGTGGTCGGTGGAGCTGGTTTGTGACTCCTTTTTCTCACCAACACCGTTGTCGTCCATTTCTGTCCGAGTCTGTCCATCAGAAGCACAAAGGTCATCCAGGTTAGTCGTTTGAAAACATCCGTCAGATCACGTTTATGATTCAAAGAGCCTCACGTAGAATGATACGGTTTATAAAAACAAAAAGAAAAACAAGGTTATATTTTATAATTTTGTGTTGATTACCTTTTTGTTTTGTTTTTCGTGTTTTTTTTTATAACACAGCAAGAACCAGACCAGCTGTAAATTTATATTTAAATTTATCTTTTCACACTTATTCCCTTCAGTGATCCAAGTTAACTGGAGGAACCATGGTTGTCTGTTTATACAAGCAATCTTAGTGGGCGGGTCAAGATGTGATTGGCACCGCCCACCTCCAAAGAAAAGGGGAGGGGACTAACATGGATGATCCTGGTAACAGACCAAGGAGGGTCTCTGTAACACTGTAGACGTTTCTTCATGTCGAACAAGGTTTGAATATTTTTTTTCCAAGAATAAGATGTTTTCCTAAATTAAATCACTCAAAAAAAACAGAGGGAAATGTGGAACCACAAACAAAACATTTGAACAACAACAAAGTTATTTCAGCCATTTTAACTGGAAGAACTACCTCTGTGATGATCATGAATGTGATTCGACCAAGAGGAATGCTGTTCGAAACCAACTGTTCAAGACCCGGTGAAGACCGCCGTTATAGACTGTACACGTTGAGAAACCTCGCTTGTTTAATGCGTTACGTCCACTAGAGGGCAGCAAAGACCAGTGCGCTGAAACAGTGTGCTGAAACAAAAGATGATAAAAGATCGATCTAATCAATATCGTACCGTGTTATTTTCGGTATTTTTTTTTTTTTTGTCAGTTAATTAATCATATACACTTTTTTTGTTGTTGTTGTTTTTTTGACAAGGGGACCTGCGATAGCCTGCCCTCACCCTTTGGCTTACACTCCCCCCCCACATCTCTAACAAAGTAGAAAATGGATGTAGAAAAAAAAGAGAAAAAGGTTTATGAATTTTAATAAATAATTAATCCGATAAGGTTATTTTTATTTCAACGTTAATTATTAAAAAAAAATCCCTTTAAATGTTTAATGGAAACATCAAAGTTCAGTATAGTCCTAAAATAATCTCTACATCCTCCTGCAGGACCTGCCGAGTACGTTAATAATTATTTGAATGTTTTGTTTTTGCACCATGATCCGTGACAAACAGCAGACGGCAGTATACACTCCTTTATCGTTCTCTAGAAGAGCGGCCTCTATCGGCAGCTGAAGAGAAACAGTGATGGGCCCGACAGAAAAAGGCAGACTATACATATACTGTATATGTATATACCTACATACATATATCCACACATACATACTGTATATGTGTGCGTATGTATAGATATATTTATGAAATATACAGTATATATGCATACATATTTACTCATAGATATATACATGGTCAAAAGGTCTACGAATGAAAAGTGAACAATCCTTATGTTTATATTTTTTTTAAATATTTTTTTTATTATACAGTGAAAATGCAGGGAGTGTCTGCATGTTCAGGTTCTCCTAAATATTTATTTAAAAACATTAAAAAAAGAAGAGGTTGATTCAAAATGCCCCATGTACAAGTTAAAAAAAACAAAAACAATAACAGTCTTGATCTACTGAAAGTCGACAGTCAACTTGTTCTGGCTACTGAACAACAGTACATGTGATGTAACATAAAGAAAATGAACACTGAAACATACAGTACTACAGTAAATGTTTACCATTAACCCTGTAACTCCGACGATGCTGTACTTTGTACATGTAAACGGTGTGTGTCACGATCAGTGAAGTCGTGTCACCTGAGGCCACCGGGCTGCGTCTCCTGTCGATATCATTCCACTTTATCTGGAGGGACGACTAGCATCAGCAT